CAGTACGTAAGGAAAAGTGTCAAAAAACCCACAAAAAACACAAGTGAGAGGAAGGTGATTATTTAAAAGAGGAAAATATTGTTGTAAACTTTGTATTCAATGAAGAAATAAATATTGCAAAAAGATCAGACTATCTCTTGACACTCCCATTAGGTACATTCATTGGATAATGAAAAAGTTACTAAAGGAAAAAGATTTATTCTTCCTGCCCTGTAAAGCAAGACTCAGACAAACTTTAGAAAACATATTGCCTGGAAAAATCTGTGGCATGTTGCATGACCCAGCAAAAACACACCTACCATACAGGTAAGGATATCACCTAAGTATAATGTGAAATACAGTAATCAAGAAATCCTTTCTGTAAGAGCCTCAACTAAACCACAACCTGTGTAAAATAACTGAATGGTGCACAAAACACTGACACATGCATTGCAGCAACATGGTTTATGAGAATCCTAAATCTTACAATAACTTGCAAAATCATTTTTACAATTGCTTATTGGCACAATAAACAAGTGTTTAGCAAATAAATTTGCAAAGCAGCCTTTAAAAGGGCAACAAGGAGGTCACGCTCTTCTTTATATTTATCTTTTTTGTTGTTATTTTTAACTGCTTCCTTAAAATAGAAAGCCACAGGAAGACTGGATGAACTTACTGAAACAGTTCCATCACAGGAATAAAAGTAGATGAGATTTTGTATATTATGGGCAATATTCTTCGACTAGTTAAGCAGCAAAACTGATTTCCTCCTCTAAGGCCGATAACTAAAATGAGTAAGGAACTAACAAACAGAAATCAGAAGCAAAAAAAAAAAAGAAAAACTAAGCTTCAAATGAGAAAAAAAGCAATGTTCTTCAGGATCAAGGAAAACAAAGTGGTGGCAGTAGAACCCAGAGCTATAATCCACTCACATAAAAATAGTGAAAATCAGACAGAAGATGAAAATACTAGAGTTCAAGAGGCCACAGAGAACAGTAGCATCACAAGGGCAACACATTGTTTAATCACTGTGAAATTCCAGATGACAGCACTCAAGGTCAGAGAGGGAAGGAGGCATCAGTGCCTGAAAAAGAAAATGTGAAGAGCACAGGAAAAAAAAAAAAAAAGTCAGACTCTTTCAGCAAGCAGCAACGAAAGCTTGAGTGAAAAAGGAAAACCAAAACCAAAATATTCCAGGGTTTGCTGGAACAAAATTGTAATTTGATTCTAAATGATGTATTTTAATTATTAATATTATTCAGTAGAGACTATTGCAGTTTATAACTGTGCTTATCCTGACAATTTCTACTGACATCTGCCATGATGTTTTATCAACTAAAACCCCAATATCTGCAAGAGTTACAGAACACTTCACCTCAAAATACACAAATACTTCTCCAGATAGAATACTTCTCCAGAACTTTACTAAGCAGATACTGCTGTTCAGTTAGCAATAAAGGATAGCTCTGCATACCACACAAAATCAGTTTTGTCATAGGAACACAGACTCAACCTCTTACAGGGTATTACAGACAGTCTTCCAGAAATTAAAACTCCAATTAAGAGCTTTGAAAAACTCAAATACCGAGAAAAGCACCAAGTTTAATGTAACAACACTGACTTCTGGATGAACTAATAAAAACAATATGGCTGTCTCAGATTTTAATTGACAGTCTAACAAGAGCAGGCTCAAGTTTTCTAACCATTCTCACCATGAAAACCAAAAAAAAAATTCTTTCCTTTAGAGAAGAAAATAAAGTAAAAGTGTCTCTCTGAAAGCATCATTTAAAAATTTCTGAAGTGTGCTGGAAGACAATTAGTATGACGAACTAATTTTTCTTGAACACTGGCACAATATTTTCTTTAGTATAAAATTGTGGGTATCTCCAAGGTCCGTGGCTGGAGCTGAGTGACTGTTCAGTGTAACGTTCAAGCAGTTCTGAATACTTGCAAGAGTAAGGTGAAGGTAAGCCAATCTCAACTCACAAGACGCTTGCTGTTACCGAAGCTAACAAAGCAATTATTTTACACTACAGGTAGTCAGCCACTGCCTTGCCTGCAAGTACACTTTCTCCTTTTTCAAGAAACTGTGAATTTTCTGGTCTTTCGCAAAACAGGACTGTAACTATGCAGTTATACTTCCCTAAAGCTGCATACCAACAGTTTTCAACACACTAGGATTCATGTTGGGGTGTTTGTGCAGTGGCAGCGGTTATGATTGATGATATGCAAAGACCTAATGTGTTGCAAAGAGGATGTAACACAAACCACAAAGGAACTAGACACTTCAGCCTGTGTTTAGTACCACATACCGAGGCCCATACACTGGAGATCCTGAATATTTTCAGCCAACCTTTTTATTCTGGCAGATTTCACAACTTTCCTTTGCAGAAATATTCTGTCCTTGAAAGATAACAGATCTAGCAACAGCTACAACAAAGTATCTAAAAATCTCCTGTTGCACACTACGGCTGTCTTCCCCTGCCATCATTACAGATCTAAACACAAAATTATTAAAGCTTTCTTGAATGTCCTCACATCACTATTTATTCCACATGCTGTGAGACTGAATGATTCACAGCATTTTCAAACATTTAACACTGAAACGCGGAGGATTATTATTACTTGAATTCACTGCTATTATTAGATACTTCTGAAAAAGATACACTTGTTTACATCACTCTCACTTGGTCTTGTTAAAATATAAAACATGGTTAAAATGTGTGGTTTGGGTTTTACGAAGGTGGAGAGAGCAGTAGCATTACTTTTTTTTTTTTTGTTTAATTGCTTATGCGATACTAAAAATATAAGAACTCATATTTCTAGGTATTTTAACGGGACTACAGTCATTTAACATAATCTGCATTTAGCATAGTCTGCATGCCTATGCACTTGCATATGGGCATTTTAATCTATTAATTTTTGTTTATGAATTAGGAACACTCCTAGCCTCTACCTGAAATAAGAAAAGACTTAAAGCTCTCAGAATGCACAAATAGGGCCCTGTATGGCGATAAAAAAGACAGCCACATAGAAAATATGATATCATTTTCTAAAGCATGCCATCCAATGAAGCTTCTTTTGACTGCATCTTGATCATAGTCATCAAACAAGACTCAAGTGGAATTTACTACACATTGCAGAACACACCAAGACTCAACAAGTTTAGTCTGCTACACAGTATAACAATTTTAAATAAATATTCTATCTCATAGGGTAGTTGGCTTCATATAATACAACCTCTACCTACTAAAAATTCTGAATAAATGCAGAGTCACATCCTTTTTCTTAAAATACTTCCTAGCTAGGAATTAATAGTTCATTTTTATCTTGTGAGAAAGAATAACTAGTACTCTTGAGCCATAATCTATTTAGAATAGACAAAATAGACATAGTAGGCTGATACATGAGCCTGGCTCCTCTCTTGAACACATAAGCAAACTTCCAGATCAACTTCTGGTAAAGACAACTTCCCTTATAGGTGCCAAATGGAAGCTTAAAAGAAATATACAAGAAGTTTAATTTTGTTGATTTCTGTTCATAAAGGATAAGGGCTTCCAGTGCATGACATAATGATAAAAAAAATTATTGCAGAAGGAATGCAACTACATTCTTAATATTTAAAATGTCTTGGAGAGCTACAGCATGTGTATGATGCAGTCCAAATGGATACTACCAAAGCAGTGTTTTAAATGCTTACCATTTCTGTTCACACCAAGTACTTGCTTCTCCAGATAGCATATTTTCACAGACTCACAGGATAGCTAAGGCTGGACAGCACCTCTGGAGACTGCCTAGTCCAGTCCTTCAGTTCAGAGCAGGGTAAACAGAGGAAATTGCTAACAGTCATGTCCAGTTGGTTTTTGAGTATCTCAGGGATGGAGATATACAAACTACACAAGCTCCAAGCACAACCTTTTCCACTCTTTGACCATCCTTGCAAAATAGTTTTTTTATAGCATTTGAATGGAATTTCCTATATTTCAATTTGTAACCATTTCCCTTTAGAGACTGCCACTGAGAAGAGTCAGACTCCTTTTCCCCATAAGGTATTTATATATATTAGTAAGAGTTGCCCCGAGCCTTTTCTTCTTGAGAAGCCTCATCTATCTTGGCCTCCCCTTGCACAACAGATGTTCCAGTTGCTCTAATCATCTTTGTGGTCTTTTGCTGTACTCCTTCCAATATGTCCATGCTTTTCCAGTAATAGACAGACCAGACCTGGACACAGTACTCCAGCTGTGGCTTTACCAGAGCTGCCCTAAATCTATAATTGCCAAGCTTTGAATTTTACTTCATCTGAAATTCTTCATGCTCTCTCGTATTTCAGGTGTTAGAGATGAAAAATAACACAACCATTTTTCAGCAGTTCAAGTGTTTAGAAAACTTTACATTCTAAAAACATACAAACCCAAATTTTATGCTAATCCTTTGAACCAAAACATAAACTAAGACAAACAAAACACACAATAAGAGTGGGCAAATGAGCTAGGTATCTACAGATCCTCTAAGCATAAGAAGGATTTAACAATACCACTAAATTAGAAAAATCAAATTCGCGTTTCGCTAATCTGGTCAATTATACCACTTATTGTTTAAAGATACTTAATAAAATAAGAGAATGACATCTTTTATTGGAGCTTAATAAAGAATTCTTCCTAAAAGAGACAGAAAGAAACAACACAAAGCACATACAAATTACAAGTGAGTCTAAAAATGGTAATGAGATTGTCTTAGTTATAACATTTAGAAATATATAAAGAAACATACAGAAATACTAGGGGGCGTGGGTTGTAACCTTTGGCTTTTATAACTCATTTTTTCAAAATTGTACTATCATGGAAGGCTGTAAACTTAAATATGAGATATTCTTCATAGTTGTGTGTTCTTGCAGCTGAAGCTTTAAGAGAAAACAACACAGGTATCTCAAAACTCATTAAGTCAGACACACTGGAAAACTTAAAGAGATATGGAACAGTGAAAAAAAGGCCAAGATACAACAACAGTGTTTTTTAACTTACATTTGAGTGTTTCTCCAGCATAAGGGATGTGTAGCTTAAACCGATCACAGCTGGGTCCAGGGGTCAGGGACGTACAGCTGAAAATGAAGACAAGAGAAGAATGTCCTAAGTAGTTACAGATGGCAGCCAACATTAACATTATTCTACAGGATACAAATGACTGATAGTAAACATGTTGTGACTACTAAAAATACTCATCCTTATGAATCTGGGAAAGAAGAAAAGGTGGGAAAGATGCAGGAGGCCTATCCTCTTTTGATCAACAGTTCCCACAACAGCATAAGAAATTTAAGGATCTGTGCCAGCTGTCTCCCATTTTATAATGAAAACACACATGCAAAATGCTCTGGTTTTGAGTGTGTTATTAGAATGGTAACAATTAGTCAAAGTCATCCAGTCCTCTACTTTGTATACAATTTTGCAGACCACAACTCTCTATGTCACAGTCTCACAGCTCCCTATCTCTGCTACCCATGTAACTGGGATGAATCTTAATACACCAACATTTACTCATTTTTTACCTATTATAACATTAAAATTTTCCCTTGTGGAAAGTCTCACAGCAGCCTTCAGGTGAGCAAGTTTCATAACAAGGTATCTGAGGCTATATAACAACTGAGGATGTATGTTCATGATTTGTGACTCTCCAGTTTATCTGAAACAGCAGTTGGGCCTCATGGTGATAAGAGAGCATTTTACGAATAGAAAAGTCACTAGAAAACTGTTTAGTGTCTAGGCCAGAGATGGCCAACTTTTTCATACCTTTTAAATCATATACCAAAATATTTGCATACAAAAAACCCCAAACAAAACCAAAATCTCAGATGCAAATGGAGAAGCAAAGGGACACAAATTGTTTCACTGGCAGGAATTGTCCCTGAAGCTTTCACCACTGTAGGCTGCTGTGTATATGACAGGTCCCAGGAGCAAAAATACTGGAAGTCTTTAGAAGTTCATTGCTTTATGTTTCTAGGGATCCTGATAACTCTGAAATCTTCTTGCCAGCCCAATATAATTGAGAATTTTTTATAGCCCCAGCACAATTGTTGCAAGCCACTTAAAGCTCAAAGCTATACTGGCCGACTCTAGAAAAAACAGCGAGTGATAATAAGGTACACAAAGGTAAAATAACTTGCCTAAACTTATATATCAGATCACTGGTAGAGCTCTTAATACACAACACTGAAAATATAATGAACAAAACCCACATATATTGGGCCATACACACACCCTAAAGCAAAAAGATGGGTAGGTCAGAAAACAAAAAATTCTGATCCTACCTTCGGATCCTCTCTTATCAGAAACAACACAGTAACTGCTGCAGCTCTGTCTTACTGCACAAGAGGCATCGGGGCACATGGAGCAATCCCAGTTCTCACTCATAAACTCAAAATGGTTGGGAGAGTCATTTCTCCAAGGTGCTGGCTCTACAGTCTCTTTTCCTCTTTCCACTTGCAAGTTCAGGAAACCACATGCGCTAACTTCAGATTGTTTTTACTCAGTGAGCTACATTTGCTATTTACTCAAATTTGTGCCCATGTGCAGCTTCACCAAAAAGAAGCAACCACAGAACTACAAAACAATTAACTTAAATGAAGTTTCCATAAAAATAGTAGAAAACATAAGCAAACCACTTATGTGCACCTAGAATCTAAGACAGATGCAATTAAAAGCCAAATGCAGTCAACGGCCTACACTGATTCAACAACAATACACCACATTTTTTCAGTATCATTACAGAAATTATATAAGTGTCCCTTCAAATAAAAGGGAAGAAACACATCCTACCTTCACTTTAGAAAGGTTTTTGCAACGTCTTAGAAGAGCACCATGCAAAACAATTTACAGAAACAAAATTGAGATATAACTACTATCAGATACTGCAGACTTGAATGGAAAGCAAGTTTCAAAACAGATTAGTTCACATCTTGCTTCATCCAGGAAGAATGCACTGACTTGGTTTTCTTTTGCTGGAATACTACTTTCCATTTTATTGAAAGACTGATGATGGAAAAGAAACGACATTTATGAAACCTGCCAATGATGCAAATGTGAAAGGGAATGCAGCATGCCGGACAAGAGAGACAGACCTGAAAAATGTTTTTATTTCATGATCTGTACTGCTTATTTTTAAATTACACCTAGGTAGGGCTTAGCAAGAACAGTAAGCATCACCAGCCTCACTGGGAGTAAAATCAGTTTGAGAATAAAAAGATTGGATCCCTAGTGCAACAGAAACAAGAGAATATAATTTTTTTCCAAGCGGTGGTTTTTTAGTAGATTAGAACAGCAAAATGAGAGTGCCCATTGTGAGAGTGTTTTAATGTCTGTGAATGAATTTAACAGCTATATAGATACTATTATCTACTTCCAAAGTATTTCTATGGCTTACAACATATGCAAGACCAATTCTAGGAAGCATACCAAAATCCTCCAAAAAAGCACAAGATAAAAAAACCTTTTTCAGGTTCTAAAACATCTCCACAACAACAGTTAACATTTAATGAAATTTTCTTTCGAAGTATCACAGGTCACAGTCTGAGACACTTTTCTCAAAATATTATCAAAATTACACTTGTCAGCTTTTCAACAGACACAAAAATTTCTGATCCTACAAATACCCTACAAATCTTTTCTTTTAGCACAATGGGCCATTTGGAAATATTACAGAAAGAATAATATTCTTTAATATTAAAATAAAAGTCTGATTTAATGGTAAATGTCCCTAAAAGCAACATTAAGTACTTTTCCTATATTATTATATTGCACTAGAGATGTTTTTAATTTTACTGGTCTAGAAGTGATGGAAAGTGACAGTATTCACAGTTCCCCCCCCCGCCCCCCCTTAAATTGCTCTGGTTGGGCTGCACAAGAGACTTCAATAAATGCAACAGGCTGAGCAACCAAGCAGGAATCTTACATACATCCATTTGAAAGGAGGCAGCTTCTTTTTAGTATAAACAGTAAGAGAATGAAACTCCTATGGAAAATCAAAACTCTGGTTCATGTAGCAGTCTATGTCTGCCCCTATTTCAAAAGTAATGGTCTGTCTAGGGACATAATCTCCTGCCTGAATTTCCTTAACAGATAGAACTTCTTATAATTATACACATCTGACCCAGAAACATGACCTCTATCTTCTCCAAAATGTAAGACTTTTGTCTTTTGGAAATGTGATCCTTTTACTTAATCTGGTCCACACAAATGTCACACTTGAAAAGGAATTACCTGTAATGAAGTCTTTAAAGGTTATTTGTTGTCCTGTCTTCACAGGGAATTGACAGAACAGCAATACTTAGTGTTGAAAATTAATTTCAGAAGCTGACTTCATCTCATGATATATGGATGTGTTATCTCCCTCTTTATTAATGGAAAAATATTACACTGGTTTGCATCTCTTCATCTAATCAATCAATATTTTACACAGGAAAGCCACAGAAGTAAGAATTAATGCTCTCATGCTCAGAGCAGTGATACGTCTTAGTCTTCATAAGATGATTCATGCTACACCACAAGATCCCCCACAATGGCTTCCCTACTAAAATATCAAAGAATCATCAACTTGACAAGTTTCTGGGATGAAGGAATATTCGTGAGTGTATTGCTTAAAATCACGTTGCCCTATCCAAAGGGGCTGTGCTGAGATTACAGCTGGAAACTGGTAGATGGAACTGCATATGCAAGCAATCATAGCTGAATACAAACCTTTCTCTTTTGCAGTAGATTTTAGTTAAGTTCCTTGAGCAAATACAGCAGATTAAACTTCAGTTGAGATATATTACATCCCTATGGAATAAGTATTCCAAGTAGGAGACAAGTTGTTGAGTGTTTGATGCATCTTACAGTTGGGATTGTCTGTGACCTATTGAGAAATTTCACAATGAATAAAACTAAACCAGTTCTTAGACAAAGAAAAAGTCACTGTCAGCACCAGACACTTATTTAGAAGTGATCAGAATTCTTTACCACTCAGAAAAGGAAACAAAAAAGATTATCCAAGAAAAGAAAATAAATCAGAAAAGTCACTCAGTTTTCCTGCTTGGAATAAGGCATCAGCCTATAATGATAGGTATAGTAGAAAATATTTTTTTTTTTGCAAAATTAATTCTGTCTGATTTAGAAATGCAGTTCTACCTGAGTTTAACAGCGAGGTTTTCTCTTATACCAATGTATTTGCAATTAACTATTTTGTTGAACTGACACTTCTTCTGTTTCGTTTAAGCTAAAAAAACAAAGCCACTTTGATATTTTACAGGTCTGAAGCCACGATGATAAGGAGGACTCTGATAACCTTAGATTTCAACATGGTCTTCCTATCAACTAGTTTTCTAAAACCATCACTTGAAAGCATTCCCAAGACAAGCAGTTTTAAATCATTTGGGCTCTGGTAAGATCTTATCCAAAATTATGTTCTATGCCAACTGAAGGAGTCACAAAGAAACAAGAGCACAAGTGTTTACCACCTTAATCCTTAAAGTCAGGAGATGATTGGTTATTCTACCCAAAGACTTTAAAAAAACCAACCAAACAAACTCATCAACACCCCTCTCCAAATCTACCTCTTTATATCCCAAAATTCCAGTAAGAAGCTTGTTTTTTATACAACTCCTAAAATCCACTGCTTACAACCATATAAAAGTATAGCAAATATCCAGAAATGCCATCAGAGGTAGCTCTACTGAAAAACGAGCCATCTCCTTTTTATTTCTTCTTATTTTAATCTATGATATAGGTGTAAGCCCCAACAGTCATGTCAGATTTATCTGATGACTATCAAATTCCCTGATTATAAAGTATGCAATGTGTTTTAGTCATTCTTCCTTCATAGATCATAGGGAAGCTTTACTGCCTTCGCTATCTGAAGACAAATCATCAGTGAACTTTACTGTACAACAGCAAAGTAAAATTAGACTAAGAAATTTAGCCTCTATAATTTCAGGAACTTAATACTGAGACTGTCTAACCAGAATAGTCAGAGATGCAAAACCTTCTTTAATCTCATGGTGCTTAGGCTGCTATGCTTGCCATTCTGGAGGATCAGTACTTTTTTGGATAACAGACAACTTTTATTTGCTCG